TTGTAAAATATTTTTAAGATCTCCAGGCCAAAAAAATGTTTTCTTCAAGAGCTTTCTCGAGTACTTTTCACATCCTGGTCAAAACAGGGTTGATTTTTAAAAACCTTCCTACCCAAGAACCCTGATTTTTAAAATAGAATTTAGACAGACTCCGTAACAATAAGCGCAGGTTAAAAACTTGGATAATGAATTTCCTCTCGCTCAGATTATGATTTTGTTCCTTTCCTGATTTTTTTACTTTCCGAGCACCATTCCAAACTTTCAAATTTACCCTCAACGTAATACCATCCTTTCGACAGGACTACTCATTGGACCGTAAATTAATATTTCATGAAAACCATATCGAAGTGTTGATGTGTCGCTTGTTTATGAAATATTCAAAAGCGAAAAAAAGGAAAGGTTATGATGACTCTGCAACGTATTTCGATGTAGCAACAACAAAAACACATGAAGTTAAATTTAATTGAAACCAATAAAGTTTCACATTATATGACAGTGGTGACAGTAACCTATGACAGCACAACAGCAACACCATTTAATGACAAATGATAACCGAATAACATCTAAATAAACTATGCTAATCAAGTGTGTTGTGGTAATCACTTCCTACTCGTCGAACACACCCATCGAACTTGTTGGGTTCGCTTCACACTTCGCTGGTCAAAATTCAATTGAAATTGAATAAACATTTGAGGGATTTCCAAAAGGTTATGTTCATGTAAAGTGGAGATTTAGTATGGGATGTGTCAACATTGTAATTGTAATTTAATATCGGCCGTAATGTGATGGGTGGATGACGGAATGGTTGGATGGGCGGTGGCGGCAGCGGCACTTGTGGTGTTATGTCGCGTGGCGTCAAAACACATGTCAAATCAATGAGTTGCAATTAGCATTTCATTGTCGAAAGGGAGACATTTTAAAGGTTTCCACAAAGAAATCCAATACCAACTAACGTTTTCATACTGTTTGGTTGTATTCATCAAAAGACAAGACAAAATTATTTGGAAATTGAAATGCAAAAAATAAAAAAAAAAAACAGAAGTCAAAATTATTTGGAAATTTATATGCAAAAACAATTTTGAAAATAAAACCATTTCATATGTTGTTTCTCCTTTTTTCGAACCATCACCCATTCCGTACGGCTTGTCGAAACCAATATATTATCCACGTGTTAAATGGTGTGTGGCAGTTTTTTTTCAAAAGCATTTGTCATGCCACGACATCAACTCAACATTTGAATATGCATTTCGAATGCCTACCCGTTGTATCCGTCCTACAAATCCTAGGTTATATTTTATACCAAAAATTCTTCTTGGCTACAATAATAAATTCACGAAATACTTGTCCTCGATTCATTGCCAACCAGCGACCATTTGCGGTGTCTGTGTCTGCTGCTCCTGATGATGGTGCAGCAGCAACAGCAGCAGTCGGCTGTGTTAGTTTCCACATGGTTTTGAATATCCCGGATCCTGGCTGTCTATTGCATTGAATTACATTATTACTGCAGGATTTGTTTGAAACATACCGCATGTTTTCCAAATGTATTCTGCGTAATCTTTATGCATCCGTGATTGTTTTTTTGTCCAATTTTTCAACTGAATTTTAAATAAGTTTTTGATCGTAAATTTTAAGCAATAATTCGTTCCTGGAAGAAGTAGAATTGTTAAATTTCGGAATACCAATATTGGAAGAAATTTTAGTAAAACAAATAAAAACAAGTTAAATAGTATTAGTCGGTTCTTCCGACTTTTCAAACTGTTGACACTTTATTGGGGAGGTTCCGAAGCAGTTGGCCAATATATATTAATTCGTATCTGACCTAAGGCTGAAATGATAATATGAGAACGTTACAGATTTGGACTATATCGACTACTTCCTATACTTTATAAGAGATATGTGCAAATTTTTGGAAAATGTGGAAATGTGCGTTTGATACCAGATATAGCGTATTCCATTTTCATACTTCAAAATTTGAAGAAAAACTCTTGCATCTTGCATTTTATAAGAGTTATGAATATTCAAATTTTAGACCCTCTGTGGGGAGATACTTGATGGAGTTGACCGATATTGTTCATTTTCGTACCCGACCTAGCACTGATGCAAATATAAAGTTGGAGAAAAATTCATTTTTTGCGCAGTAAAATATTTTTTTTAAAATTTCGAACTTTTATGGGGAAGGTACTAGAAGGAGGGGACCGATATGGTCCCTCTCCGAAGTTTGATAATAATTTTACGATGTAATAAGTATGGAACAAATCGGATGCTCCCTACGAGAGTTATTGTGCGCACCAACCAGGCAGACGGACGGACGAACATCGCTAGATCGATGCCAAATGTCCTGAAACGGATTTGGTTCAAAGAGAACTATGGTCTTAAATCGTTATTTTGATGAGGCACGTTTTGGATGTATCAAATGATGTATACCCTCTCTAGCCATGTGGCTGAAAGTATAAAAAATCTGCTAAAAATGTGACTGAGATAATAATAACAAGTATTCAGAGGCAGCGCTTTATGGGTCATGAGAAATAATCGATCAAAGAAGAGGGAACCAATTGCATACTTCATATACTGAAATGTAAACGACTCCCATGAAAAATGTGGCTAAAATTATCAGAACGTCGAATATCGGAAGGTACTATTATATGAAGGCTGTAAGGCAATGATCTGCCGCAGAAGGAAATACCCAATACGTGCTCGAATTAGAACCCGTTCCGAACTCTAAATACAGATTTTTAAATAATATAATTAGAAAATGTGACTAAATCCATAATAATACCGAATATCGGTAGATATATTTGGTAGCTGTATGAAAATGTGGACGTTGATATAGCCTTACCTATTTGCGGAAGATTTTAGCCTCTATCTCAATTCATTTGAAAGACGTACAAACCCCAAAGGCGGAATTTTATGTACCAATTCCACTGAAAAACCAGTCAGGAAAAGTCAAAAGTCGGGCGGGTCGACTAAATGATACCCTGCACCACTGTGCATATTTAGTAGAGCTACCGTAATAAAAGAATTTATTTCAAGTAGGTCATACCACCCATCAACATTTGGCTTTAGAGCAGTTATAGTTTGCTATAGAGTGCATGATATAACTTGGAGAAGGATTATATTAAAAAAATATACATCGGAGACGAGTTACACAAAATGGAAACGTACGTCCCGAAATTCACTCCATTTGGGCTGATATTAGCCGTTATTTGCACAATAAACCAGAAATCGGATTATGTATATGGGAGCTATATCCAAATCTTAGCCGTACTCGATAAAATTTGGTAGAGGTATTTCCAAGCTTTAAAAGATATCTGGTACCACATATCATTGTTGTCGAATGCATATTACGAACTTGAGGGACTTGAACACCAAACCGGATGAAACATATATGTGGAAGCTGTAACTATATCTGTACCAATTTTCACCAAATTCAATGTACTTGCTTCTAGACAAAATTCGGTTGGATATGCCAAAATTAATGTCATTTGCTCTGATATATGCTATTTGGTGCACAATTAACCCGAAATTGGTTGAGGATATATATGGGAGATATATCTAAAGCTGAATAGACCTTGACAAAAAAAAACTTATTTCAGACGTGTATCTGATATCTCGTACGAAAGATCATTGTTGTGGAATGAGGGACTTTAAACCCCAAATTGGGAGCTATAGCTATATCTGAATCGATTTACCTCAAATTTGGTTTATAGGATAAATCCAGTCGATTTGCTGCACAATAAACCTGAATAAACCTATCTATATCTGAACCGATTTTTCCAAATTTGATTAACTTGCTTCTAGGCTCAATTAAGTCAAATGTACCAAAATGCAGATCATTTTGACTTAGATTATTCATTTGGTGCACAATTAACCCGAAATCGGTTAAAGGTATATGGGAACTATATCTAAATCTGATCCGATTAACACCGATTACCAAACATATAATGTTTGCGAAATTTCATCTCAATCGAATACTAAATGCGACTTGCATTTTGTTCACAAGAATGCATGGACGGACGGACTGACATGCGTAAATCGACTCAGAAAGTTATTCTATGAATATCCTCTTCTCCTTCTCCATGTTACAAACAAATGCTCAAAGACATAATACCCTTACCACTTTGTGGTGTAGGGTATAAATAGGTTGAGAATGTTAGATGTTTAGTCAGATAAGTCGGGGTTTGGAGAGTTTCCTAACAATACAACAAGTAATAGAGACGACATGAGAAAACTTAAAATATATCAAGTCATTATTCAAGTGCTCGACTATAAAAAATTCATTTTGGAATGTCGATATACCTACAAAGTGCTTTCATTCTCAAACGGAATTTTTCACCCACTTATATAAGCAGAACAAAAACAAATACATGCTCTTGCGCAACATTTTTTTCCACCAGGATCTTAAAAATATATTTTTTGAATTCCATTTGAAATTTATTTCATAACCTATTTTTGTTTTCAAAATGTCATTAAATATTATCATCCAACTTTTCCAATATAACTCAAACGCATCGTTGAACACGGCAAAAAGAAAAAACCAAAGCAAAACATAATGTTCACGACAGATATGACTTCTGTAGGTCCTTACAAAATTTCTGGGCATAACTCAAAATCATTGATGTGTACGAAAATTACGCTAATAAAGTACATTACTTGCTAAATAAATTTTCCAAAGAAGTGTAATAGAATGAAAAATTCGAAACGGAAAACTTTTTAAATAAACTGTTGCTCCCACCACGCCTAGATTCTTGGTGGCCAGGCAGGCAGCCAGCCAAGAGCAAAAACATGACTTACTATAAATTTGCCATCAACCAAGAAAGAATGGAAGAAAAAGAAAACTTATTAGATTTTCAAGTAAAAAGGGAAAAACACACACACAGAGCAAGAGATACAAAACCATAGAGAATTTCCCTTAACAAAAACATCCTCTCTCACACACACACTTTGAAATAAAATAGCACAAGAGATAATATGAAAATGAGATATTTTCCACATTGGCTTACCGCAGATTTACAGCCATAGCTCATGTTTTTTGGGGATTTATGACTGCACCACACTCCACCTGAAATGAGACAATGAAAACAACAAAAATATGTCAGTCGCTGGCTGGAAACGAACAATGATAATCTATGAAAACGTACTTTCTACCCCATGCTTGGCTTTACGAATTACCAAAAAATGAGTTCCATTTTATCTTTGAAATTCGAGAGATGAAAAAGAAGCACATACACACACACACGCACACAACAGATTTGTTACACGAACTTCATAAAAATGATGAAAAATAGGGTCTTTACCAAAGAAAACTCATTTTCATTAGACTTATCTATGAAATGAAATCGCTCACTGAGTGAATGGGCCCTATTTTACATATTTTGCCTTTTGCGTTGATTTTCTGCTCCAGAAAGCGAATGAAATTTTACGATTTTTAAATGATATTTGGGTAGAAAGTTTGGGCCATCCTGGCCCTACCCTTACCACCATCACTTTTTTGAGAGAAAAAAATAAAGCAAACATGAATAACAAAAAGCCTTCCTCGAGAGTTTTTATTTTACGACCAGGCCTCAATTCTTCATCGCAAACGACCTGAACGTTTAACGCAGAAAAAAAAATATCATCAGAAACAAAATTTAAAGGAAAACAATTTTACGGTATTTGATTTAATAGCCCAACCGAGCAGTGGACCAGTAAAAAAAAACGTTGTCAAGTCCTTAACGTAATACGGGAGCAAACAGGTAAAAATGCTCTGCTGGTTATTCCACCATTCCATTGTTAAAAAACAAACAAAAATAACTACTCAAAATGCTAATGAAAAACGTGCTCAAGTTTTGATGTATTTAAAATAAGTTCTTGTTGTTGTTGCTACTGCTGAGTTTTCTAAACAAATAAAAGTTTATTTTTGTTACATTTCAATTTTATGTGGATTCAAACAAACTAGATTGTATTAAAATCCACAGATATGTATATATATTATTTTTAATATATGAAAGTTTTCTACGAGAATATTAGAGGTAACAAATATTAATATTAAAAAGCAGTAAGCTCGACCAGGCCGAACTTTGAATACCCTTCACCATTAGAACGAATTTGGAAATTTTCAAAAAAATAAAAACCGTTAAAAATTATTTTAAAATCTTAAAAATACCGAATATAGCCGTTATATTGGCGATTACACGACGTGGACCTACATTGTTGTTATAAGCCATTACCATTTCAATTTTTAAACTTGAATAAATGGTAAATAATGTAGCTAAAATCATCAAAACACGGTACATAGGGAGGTGCCGTTACATCGGAGCTATACGAAGACCTGGACTTGTATAGACAATTTTCTATTATATCCTGTAGCATCGATTACGAACTTCAAATACGACATCTCCAACAATTTTGATGAATATTGTACCTAAAATCGTCAAAATACCGAATTTAGGGAGGCAGTTATGTGTGGGGCCTATACAAAGTCCTGGAGCTGCATAGACAACTTTCTATCATAGGCTGAAGTATCCATTGCGAACTTCAAATACCACTTTTGAAACTATTCCGGTGAACAATGCGCTAATATCATCAAAATACCAAATGTCGGGAGGTACCGTTATATGGGGGCTATACGAAGACGTGGACCTGCACAGACAATTTTCTGTCATAGGCTGTAGTATCCATAACTAACTTTAAATACCAAATTTGAAAGAATTCTGGTGATTAATGTCGCTAAAATCATGGAAATACCGGATATCGGGAGGTACTGTTATATGGGCGGCTAAATAAAAACGTGGACCTACATGGCCTATTTACGAAGTTAACCTGCCTACTGGAAAAATATACATGTGTCTCACGTTAATGAGTGCTGGACAGTGGCAGAGCAGATGTTCGACTGTCTCAACTTCTTCTGATATATTCTACAGTAATCAATGATGCCGCTGTCCCATTTCGAGGTTATTGCCCTCACCTTGCAGTGACCTGTGATAATACCCACCACAAGTTCTAAGTCAGGTTTAGACAATTATAGTAGCGACTTTGTTCTCTTCTCCGAGAGTGTGGGCTAGATTCTTTTAGTGATGTTGCATCCCCTTTCGTCCAGCCATTTTTGTTGAATTCTCTCCGAGTAGTGTTTATGAATAAGCTGTAGGAAATGGCATAGAGGTGGTTTAACCGAGTTCTCAACTTCAATGGTAGTCGATTTGGATCCTAGCCTGGCCAATTCGTCTGCAGTCTCATTGCCTGGAATATTGCAATGGCCAGGAAACCGACAGAGCTTAATGGACAACCCAGAGTTTTCCAAGGATCTCCTGCAGTCCAAAACAACCTTACACTGGATAGTAGAGGAGTTTATAGTCACCGGACTGATAGCCTCCATGTTTCTTGTTACCGACAGGTCTATGGCGTTTTTGACCGCAAAAGTTTCCGCCTGGGATACGCTACAGTCGTTTCTAAGCTTATAGGATTCGCGAACATTAAGAGTGTCACAGAAGACACCAGCCCCGTACCGCATTCTATCTTTGAAACGTCGGTATAGACAACTATGCTGCAGAAATGTGGATTTTTGTGGGCCCAGGTGCCCCTATCAGGTATGTGGATGTCAGGTGGGTCAAAGTGCTGAGATATAATCACTAGTGTGTTGGTTTCCTCCCCTACCTCCCCTACCCCAGCAATCAACAGGACAACATCATCAGCATAAACGACTACCTTTGCCCCAGTTTTTCCTAGATCTATGAGTATATGCCAGAGAGTCAGTGGTGATAGAACAACGCCTTGTGGCGTGCCCCTGGTAACTGATTTCCTAATACATTCCCCCAATGCTTGAGTTGATAATTCTGCTATTAAGCATTGTATCAATCCAATTTATGAAGAGTTGGGGTAGTCGTGGGTAGTAGAAATCTGATTTATATGTCTATCAGCCTTTACTGTTTTCAATAGGAAGGATGATAGACTGATTGGTCTGTGGTCCTTAGGAAGTGAGTGAGTATGTAAAAGTATCTGAATTCAAGCGAGTTCCACTTTAAACCACAAATACCAGTAAGGCCGTTTGGGTAATGCTGTTAAATTTTTCCAGAAACCATAAAGTGGGTGAGGCTGTCATATGGGGGCCATACCAAAACGGGATAGTCCAGAGACAATTTTATACTTCAAGGATTGTCATCTACCAAATCTTCTTAAATCCAAAATTTGAAACAATTTCGTGGGAAAATGTGACTAGGATTATCAAAATACTGACTATCGGTGGGTATCGCTATATGTGCGCTATAGGAAAACGTAGACCTAAATATTTAATATTCTGCCAACGGAGCTAGAACCCATTATGATCCACAAATACAAATTTTTAGACAAATCCTTAAGAAAATCTGGTAAAAATCATCAAAATACCGAATATCGCGAGGTACCGTTCTATGAGGGCTATAAAAAAACGTCGACCTATACATACAATATTTCGCCACCGGAGCTAGAACCCATTATGACTTATAAATATCAAGGAAGTGAACAAAAGAAAACAGTAACATCAGCAGAAATGGTTCGAAAAGTAAAGAAGCGACTTGATCGAAACCCGCTTCGGCAAATATTGAAAAAATGAGCTCGGAGTAAAGCCATTGAAAGTGCAAGAACTTACACCGCCACAGAAAGAAAATGGACTCAAAAGAGCTAAAGAGTTGCTTCGCTTGCCCGAAAGTGGTGAACTGCCGAATTTCCGATGAGAAAACATTCGTTGTCCAGCAGTTTGTAAACAAACAAAATGATGGTGTTTACTTTCCAAGCAGGTCAGCTGAAAATGTCAGAAAAAATGTAGGTTGGCCACCAGAACTCAAAAGCCGGCCATGGTGGTGTGGCCCGCCATAACAGATGATGGTCGCTCTCCGCTCATATTAATCAACCGTGGCATCAGAACATTTTCCCGAAAATATTATGGAGGGTGTATTAAAGGCTTGGACACTCAAATATTTTGGCCGTAGACCTTGGACATTCCAACAGGACTCAGCACGCGGCACCCAAGAATGGTTACAAAATGAGGTTCCTCGCTTCATTTCCAGACCATAAATATCTCCGGATACCAATCCGTTGAACTGTTGTGTCTGGAGTATTTTGGAAAGCAAGTTTGACACTAAAAAATACTAAAGTGTCGTTCACCTCAAGCAAGCGCTTCGTCGGGAATGGGTCAAAATACCGCAGAGCAACATTCGGGCGGCGTGTGAAGGTTTCATTGGCCGTTTGAAGTCTGTAATTCTTGCCAAAGGTGATCAATTCGAACAAATCTAAACTTATTTTTAAACTTGATGATATTTCCCACATTTTTTGCTTTCATTCAATAAAATTTAAAAAATTGTAAAAATTATGGCTTTTAACTTTGTTGCAATTTTCTTTTTATCTCACCCTGTTTATGTTTCAACATAGTTATACACAACGGCTCAAAATGCACTATATGCAATGATATTTGGTGTAATGGGTCACATACGGCATAGCTATTTATATATTTTTTTATTTTCTTTGACCCAAAAAATTAAGAAACTTCTAAGAACCTCTTTTAATGAGTTTTTATCCAAAACCAACGGACTTTGTAACAAGTTTTTTAAGAACTTTTGCAAGAATCTTTGTCTACTATTTTTCAAGAACTATTTGGGCAGAAACAGCAATAAATCATATATTTTTTAATTAATACAATTTATGACTTTTGTTTATTTATGTGTCTACACACATAGAAAATAGTCATAGCTTATCGGTATGTAACTTTCAGATAAGTGATAGGTAATTTCTATATAATATTTAGACATCTTGGTCGGAAAATAATTATTAACGGCATTCGAATAATTAAAAAAATAATACTCTCAGCAAAAAAAAAAAAAAAAAAAAAAAAATTACTGATAGCCCGATTCTATAAAAAAATTTTGGTCTAATATTTTCCGAAAAACTAACAATTTATATAACTGTAGTGCATGTATTTGTTAATTTATCTATTATTTTTGCATTTATTTATGTAACTATTTCATATAATTCGAATTCTAAATATTTTCCAAACGATGATTCACCACAAAATTTCTAACGATTTCCAACCAAAAACATAATTTGCAATAAATA